CCAATTATTGTAGTTTTGGTTATAAAGGAATAGCAAATAAATTATTATTTTGCAGTCCATTCATTGCAATTTTTGCTGAAAGCAAAATTATTCAATTTCCATGGCTTTGCTATGTTACGCTTGGACAATTTATAACCATCATGAAATTGATAATCATAGAATTGTTACAGTGTAAAAATTCATCATCTTAATGAGTGGCTGCACTCTGCAGCAATTCACATGATCATGTTGTAGCATTGCAACCTTTGCAGTTATTGTCCGAATATGCATAACGTTTAAAGTTTTTCAATTGCATGTGTGAATTTTAGGCAATGTAAGTAACATTTACTTGATGTACTCTTATTATTCATTTTATTGCATAAAAATCTGAAATTCGTCTCTGCCTTGTATGTTGTTACGCTTCAAAGTGCTGAATCTGATTTAATTTTTGATTTATGTTGCAGAATTTGACATTTTAAAGATATGTAAAAGATTTTCAAATGTGTTCTGAAGCAGGGTCGCTCGACACGAAACAATGACTGATTTAGAGCCATAGAGATGTACAGCATGGAAACTTATCCTTTGGACCAACTCATCCATGCCTGCCAGATATCCTGAATAATTCTAGTCCCATTTGCCAGCATTTGGCCCACATCCCTTTAAGCCCTTCCTATTCTGGTACCCATCCAGATGCCTTCTAAATGTTGTACTTGTACCAGCCTCTACAACTTCCTCTGGCAGCTCATTCCATACACACAGCACCCTCTGTGTGAAAACATTGCCCCTTAGGTCCCTTTTAAATGTTTCCCCTCTCATCTTAAACCACTGTCCTCTAGTTTTAGACTCTCCTACCCCGGGAAAAAGACCTTGGCTATTCACCCTATCCAAGACGCTCATGATTTTATAAACCTCTATAACGTCACCCATCAGCTTTCGATGCTCCAAGGAAAATAGCCCCAGCCTATTCAGCTTCTCCCTATAGCTCAAACCTACCAATCCTGGCAACATCTTGTAAAGCTTTTCTGAACCCTTTCAAGTTTAACAACATCTTTCCTATAGCAGGGAGACCAGAATTGAACACAGTATTTCAAAAGTTGCCTAACCAAAGTCCTGGACGGCGGCAACATGACATCCCAACTTTTGTAGTCAATGCACATCTGGAGCATTGTGAGCAGTTTTGCTCCCCTTATTTAAGGAAAGATATTATTTCATTGGAAACTGTTCAGAAAAGGCATAGTCTCAGAACTGAAGGGCACTAATTTAAGATGAGGAGGAATTTCTTCTTCTCTCAGCGGGTTGTGAGTCTTTGGAACTCTTTGCCACAGAAAGATGTGGGGGCAGAGACCGTGTTATATTTAAGACTTGCATAGATAAGCTCTTGATCAATAAGGGAATCAAGGATTATTGGGAAAAGGCAGGAAAGTGGATGTGAGAAATGTGGGATGAGTCATGATCCTGTTGAAAAGTGGAGCAGACTCAAGGGGCCGAATGCCCTATTCCTGTTCCTGTTTTGCATGGTTCGAGTCTGACTGTTTCTTTTCGAGTAATAGTCTCATTGCTTTTTGAATACTTCAGTTGAGTCAGCTACCACCACACTCTCAGACAATGTAATTCCAGACCCTAACCACACACAGTGTGAAAATGACGTTTTCCCTCATTTCAATTTTGCTTCTTGTGCTAAGTGCATCTGCAGTTCCTACTACCTCTAAATCTCTGCCTGTCATCCTCTATTCCTTCATGAGTGGGAGCATTTACTCCAATCTAGTCTATCCAAAACTCTCATGGTTTTGAGTACTTCAATCAGAACTTCCTTGAAACTCATCTTCTCTAAAGTGAACAGTCCAAGCTTCTCCGATCTATCTTCATAAATGAAATTCCTTATCCCTGGAATCATTCTCATAAATCTTTTCTGCACTTTCTCCATAGCATCCTTCCTAAAGTACAATGTCCATAACTAAATGCAAAGCTCTAACTGAAGCCAAAATAGTGTCATAGATGAAAGACATACTCCCTTGCTCTATTAAAAAAGTCTAAGATCCTGTATGCTTTATTTTCTGCTCTATCAACCTGTTCTGCCACATTTAATGACTTATGCACATGTCCCTCTGCTCCAGCACCCCTTTAGAGTAGTAACCTTTTTAATATTGTCTCCCCATGCTTGCCTCCCAAAGCAAATCACCTCGCTTTTCTCCTGATTGAACTTCACCTGCTACTTATCTGCCCTCTCCACCAATTTTTTCTGTTCTTTTGAAGTTATACATGGTCCTGCACACAGTTTACAATGATTCCATGTGCCCTGAAGTGACACTTCTGTACCTTGTGCAACAATAGCAACGGCATTGAACTTATTTTGTTAATGTTTGATGGATCAATCCATACTTTCAAGCTACGTTTGATCAATTTTCAATTAATTTACAATTCCGTCGCTGACAACATTCGTGATATATTGAACAGAATAATGCTTAGCAAGGGATATTTAGGTAACTAAAACAATTACTTCATGGCTCTGAATTTTGAAACTTACAAATTTAACTTTCTTGTTATAAATCCAGACTTTCCACATTCTTATCTGAACATTATTGTAAATTTAGTTTGCTTCTGCCCTACTCATTTCAACTTTGCATTGCCCCACTGCATTTTCTTCATCATAACATTGACAGCAGTGCCTAGAACCATCTAACCTGTCAAGTCTGGAATCCCCACCTCCTTAAAACTGTTGAGATGTGTAAACTTTGAGTCACTCCTCATCATAACAAATATCAATGTTTTGTTTCAATTGTTCTAGCACCTTGGACCTTAGATTTCTCAATTTTAAAATTATGTCCAGGGGTTATAGGCCAGAAAATACTTTGCAGTTCATCCAACCAGTTTCAAAGATAAATGATCTATCAGTCATGGACTAGCTTAGTTATCCTAATATGTGTTAACATTGTATAAACTATTTAATGCCATTGTCTCCCAGGGAAACTTCTGTATATTCAATTCTCCCTACATTAATTAATTTAATCTAAATCACATTTGTACCTTTATTCTTCCAAATTCGAGCCTGTACTGCCATGTATGCTAGAGAACCTGGCAAACTCAATTTATGTACTACCATAGACATTTTGAATAATTGAGGATTCTGCTTCTACTTTTGTTGTATTGTGCTAATAGCGTCATCTGCTGACATTTGTATGGGTAGTGGCAGTCCTAGCTAAACCAGGCTGAAATAGTAATGCTGATAGTTAGAACGTATATAAGCATACAAGCAAGGAACAAGAATAGGCCACTCAGCCCTTTGAGCTAGCTCCACCATTCAATAATCAGGGTTGATATGATTTTGACATCAACTCTGCATTTTGGCATACCCCTGATAATCTTTGTAATCAAGAATCTATGTGCCTCTGCCATTAAAATATTTGAAGATACTGCATCCACTGTCTTTTGAGCAAGAGAAAGAATCAAAATCCTGTGAGAGAAAATAAACTTTTTTATCTCTGTTTTAAATGGGCAATCACTTATGTTTAATCTAGGACTCCTAGTTCTTTCCACAAGAGGAAATTCAACATCTGCCCAGTCAAGTCCCCTCAGGATCTTATATGTTTCAATTAAGTTACTTCTGACTCTTCTAAACTCCAGAGAATATAGGTCTGGCTGTCTTGCCTTTTCTCAAAAGGAAAACCACTCATTCCAGCTTTTAGTCTATTGAACCTTCTCTGGACTACTTCCAACGCATTAACATCTTTCTGTAAGGACAGTGATCAGTACTGTACACAGTGCACTCTTACGAGTTCCCCCTGTATAACTAAAACCTAACCTCCTGACTCTTATGCTCAATTCATCTCACAATAAAACATAATATTCTATTATTTTTCTGATTACTTGCTGTACCTGCATACTAAACCTCTTCAATTCATGCACTACCAAACCTAGATCTATCTGCATCTCAGAGCTCTGCAACCTTTCACCATTTAGGTAATATTCTTCTTTTCTATTCTTTCTGCCAAAATGGACAATTTCACACATTCCCACATTGTAACCCATTTACCAGATCTTTGCCCATTAACGTAACCTAACAATTCCTTTGTAAGCTCCTTATGTCCTCTTTATAACTCATTTTCCTGTCTAGCTTTGTGTCATCAGCAAATTTAGCTACAAAATCTTTGGTCCCTGCATCCAAATCATTTATATGAATTGTAAAATGTTGAGGCCCTAACACTGGTCCCTGTGGCACACCACTTGTAACATCTTGCCAACCTGAAAGAGACCCATTTATTCCTATGCTCTGCTTCCTGTTCGTCAGTCAATCTTTTATCCATGACAATATGTTACCACCAACACAAAGAGCTTTTATTTTCTACAATAATCTTTGATATGACATCCTATCAAATGTCTTCTGGAAATCTAAGTACCATTCAGCTACTGATTCCCCTTTATCCACAGTGCAAGTTACTTCTTCAAAGAATTCCAATAAATTAGTTAAACGTGATTTCCTTTTGACAAAATCATGTTGGCTTTGCCTGATTACCTTTAAATT